CTTAAAAAAAAAAAAAGCAACATCAGGCCTCCACAGAAGAATGGACCATTATGAATGCTATAGTCATCTGCTACCAATGAACATAAATAGCAACCATATCCAGCTGTTAGGGAGGGCTGACCTTTCTAAGTAAATATGATTTGACCATTCAACTAAAAAAAATCTTGCTTATATGCGGAACCTCCCTGTATATTTTTCAGCAGTTTCCTATAAGTCTATAATTATTTAAAAATAAAAATTAAAAAATATATTGTTCTTATGAGGAAGATACCAACCTCCAGGAATCAAGATAGCAAGAACCAATTTGTTAAGACAAGACAAAACCCAGTAAAACTATTCTCCAAGAGAAAAATGGAATCTCCCAACGTCCCATTTTTTTCTTTTTTTAAAACAACCTTATTGAAGCATATTTTTTCTGTCATAAAAGGTACCCATTTTAAGCATGCAGTTTAATGGTTTTTAGTACCTTTACAGAGTGGTGCAACCATCACCATAAATCAGTTTTAGAGTATTTTTATCTTCCCAGTCATTAGATCCCTCATGCTCATATACAGTTAATTCTCTTTTCCACCATTAGTTCTAGGCGGCCACTAATCTACTTTCTTTCTCTATAGATTTCACTATTTTGGACATTTCATATAATTATACAAAATGTGGTCTCTTGTGTCTGGCTTCTTTCACTTAGTAAAGTATTTATGAGGTTCATAAAGTAGCATGTGTCAGTGTTTGTTCCTTTTTATTGTTAAATTGTATTACATTTTATGCTATACCTCATTTTGTCCATCCACTTACCAGTTGATGGACATTTGGGTTGTTCCATCAACTGGTAAATGGATGGACATAGGACATAGGTTATGTCCATCCATTAACCTATTTCCATCCAACCTATTTCCACAGGTTATTTTTGGCTATTGTATCTTTTTTTTTTACCGGCAGTATAGCTGGGTAGATTTTTTAAATTAATACTTAAAATCTGCAAGTTTTTTCTGCTGTAGTCTTTTAAAAACACTATTATTTCATTTTAGGGTATACTGTCATTTGTTTAAACAGTGATGTTAGTGGATGCTTTTGAATTGTTTCTAATTTTTAACTTTACAAACAGCACTGCATTGAGTATTCTTCCACATATTTTTCGTATGTGTATTTGTGATACAGAGTTCTAAAAGAGGAATTTGTGAATCAAAGGTCATGAACATTTACAGATTTAGTAAAATATTGAAGAACAGAAGACTTCTTTAGTCATAATTTTATTTTATAGTAAGGTCTTTTGTTGTGTTATTTGTACATTTGTGTATTTTTAGTTAGCCAAAGAAAAGAAAGTTCTGTTTGCTCAAGTTAGTGAATATGTTAAGAAAAAAAATTGTGTTAAAAATAATAGGAATGTATCCACTTCAAGGTCTAGTGTAATGAAATGAATATGCAATCCAGAAATTTTTCTTATTTTACTTTTCTTTGTATTAGAACCATCTACTATAAAGGTTGGTGGCTACTATAAAAGTTAATAGAAATTTCATGGAGGTACTTTTAGTTAAAAAATACTGGGTAGTCTAAAAATGGTGGCAGAATTATGAGTTATGGTCATAACTTGCAAGAGTGGTTTCTCTTCCTATTTTCCCAGAATTTCAAATATTTTGTGTGACGACGCCAAAGCCCCATAGGTATAGACCACATTGCTCCGTCTCCTCCTGTATTTTTTACATGTATGTGAAGTGTACGTTCAGTGCATCATCAACTTATCAAGGTTATAAAATAAGTTTTTGATAAGGTGACACTAAAACCTGGGTTCTTTGCTAGACACCTTGACTTAGAATTTTTTAAGAGTCATTTTGAGGTATTAAATGTTTTGCTTTGTTTGTACCAAAGAAAGAGTTATGATTAACAAGTATTTGTGTTAATAGGTTTGTGAAATTGTTTTAAAAAAATGGCGCCTAGAGTCAGACTCATTACAGTTTTTGACATCAGTAAATGTATAAATCTCAAATAGGTAGAGATGACAGACGGATTAGTAATCATGCAGGGCATTTATGTTTAGCTTTTAGTGCCTCTTGAGGCAGGCAGGCAGGCTTCTTTCACATCACATCCTTACTAGGAGGATTTTACAAGTGAAGACTCGAGGGTTGGAATAGCTAGTACTTTTTCCTAAGGTATATTATGTTACTGTTACTATTTTAATATTATATATATATATAGTAAGCAAATTAATACACCTTATTCCTTGTATTGGGAATTTTAAGTAATATGCTGTTTGGATATCTGAACATCCCAATAAAGAGCTTACTCCTTCACAAACTTAATGAGAACCCAGATTTCTGAATATTATTTAACCTCTTCTTTTGATTGCTTAATTTTTAAAGTACTGTAACAGAGACACAACATTCTTGGGACCTTCTTGTACGAATTACAAGACAGTTCCCATCTCCTTAAAAACAATAGTTTTTTTGTTTTTTCCCTTGTAAGCCTGGTAAAGGTTTTTTTTTCCCCCCTAATGGTCTTTGCTGGTTTGCATAGCCCATCACTTCCAGCTGTTTTCCAGTTTGCCATTTATGCATAATGCACATTGGGAACCCAGGTAACCTGGACTGGTTAGAATTATGTGCAAATGAGAACTAGATGGTGTTGTCAGGTGAGAACTTCGGGGCATGAGAGCTTTAGACTTTGGATTTTAAGGTTTTAGATTTTAGGGTTTTTTTTTTGAGGGTTCATAATATTGGAGTTGGTGGATCATCTAATCACTTGTAGTTTCTATATTATATTCAAGTAGTGGAATGAAGCCCTCAGAGGTTTCAGGCCTGCCATTATTTGTAATTTTATTTAGTAATCTGCATATTTAGTAATTGCATATAGCAATGCAAAATGATGTTATTTTGCTTGCTATAGCTAGTGGTGATGGTTACCTCAAAAATGTTCTTTTTTTGGCTGGAATAAATTTTTGTGAAAAACCCAGGGGAAGTAAAAACTACAGTTATATAATAAACTTTCTTTATCTTAAAAGTGAAAAACTGTAGAAGCCATGTGGATGTGTTTGGATTCTTAAGAGACTGTAGCTTTATGTTCTATTTCTGAAAAATGGAAATGGATGTTCAAAATGCTAAGGATATTTATATTATCTCCTTATAAGTAAAACATTTTAATTTGTTTTATGTGTGGAAAACTAATTACTTGGTGTATTAGCTGACGTTTGTTAGGGATCACTTCAACATATCTACAACCCATGGAAGTTTCTGTGTTTCCTGTTTTTGACAAATTTTGGAAAAATTAGGTTTCACGTTGTTTAACACTTGGCTTACAGCACTGTTTTTTGTTTCCAATAAATATATTCAGTTTTCCATTATTTTATTTTCTTTGAAGAAAAAGAAAACTGCTCACTGAGGAGAGTTGTTGAGTTTGGTTTATTGATAACCTTTTATTGGATTGGCAAAAAAGTACATTTAGTTTTTTTCATAAAGTAAAAGACACATCATTTTCACAGATAACTCTATTGATTTAGATATTTTGAGTATGTCGGCTATCTCCTGCTATTGGCTTCTAGTGGGTAGAGGCCAGGAGTGCTGCTGATCAGCTTCCAATGCACAGACAGCCCCACAGCAAAGAATTATTTGGCCAAAATGTCAATAGTACCAGGAAACTTTGCAAACCACTTTTGACACATTTGATCAGTCATAGCACCTTCTCCATACACTGCACAAATCTTATGTTTCAGTGTGTTTTTGCTTTCTTGAAATAATAAAGCATAATACGCTGAAAATGTTGCATATCCTCTTTTATCTTTAATTTTAAAATGGCTGCACAAAAATGCATCAATTTGGATAAGTTTTTAAAAAATGAATGCTGATATGACAGCTATTACAATACACTCTAACAGAATTGTTTTGAATGAAGTTATAGACAACTAAGTGCTACTAGAGCCATCTTACAGAAAAAAACTAAACGAACTTTTTGGCCAACCCAATATTTCACCTGTAACATTCATGTTTTCAATGTTTTCTTTGTTGTTATGACTTGCTAATTTAGCATTTATTGGATTAAATAACAGTAAAGGTTTCGTAGTGTTGTATAAAGGTTTTGTAGTACTATCTAGTCATCTGGTTCTGTTAATTTCCCATTAATTGAGGGCGAGCCAGTAGACTGTTACTGTTCTTTTGTTAAAATTTTATCTACTTTCTCACTTCTCAAATTGCTTAAGTTTACTGAGAGATATATTAGCAATTATAAAGTACCTTGTAGTATTCAATGCTTATATGCTTAGTAATATGTTGTCTTGACTCAGAAGTCAAGACTTAGTAATTTTAAAGCACATACTTTTGAGTTAAGTCAGCAGTTTTCAGCCTTTTCATCTCATGACACTCATAAACTAATTACTAAAACTTTGTGGCATACCAGCATATATTTTTTGCTGATCTGCCAATAAAAAATAGCTATAATTTTGATTTATTCATACTGGATGGCTATTGTGTTGGCTTTTGTCATTTTTTTAATTTGACAGTCTGAGGGAAAAGAGGTCAATGCCCCTGACTAAACAGTCAGGTATTGCATGTTTTAAAGATTCTTTCAGAGTACCAGTTTGTCATGACAAGCCAGCTGAAAGTCGAGTTAAATAATCAGGAATCCCTTAATGTGTGTTCAAGGAATTGAATTGGTATTTGATAATGTATTTAAAGAGGTCCATGTTTATTTTTTCCAAATTATGTTGCATATTATTTCTTAAAATTTCAGACTTAGTTTCATTAATATGTCCCTTATGAGTGATTATAGAGTATGCATATGTATGTGATATGGTTGTGTATGTAATAAATTATAAATTTCATGAAACCTTACAGCATTTCTTTGATCCAGTTTAAAGTCGTATATGAACAACAGTGGTCACATTTAGGAAGACAGGTCACCTAGATGTCAGAATTCCATATTAGTTAATGCAGGGTTATTCTTGTCATTTTGATCTTTGTTTCTCTGATTCTTTTATTATTACTTTTTGTTACACTAAAATTTTTTTTAAATTGTAGGGGGAAAAAAATAGTGGCTTTGATGTCCTTTACCATAATATGAAACATGGACAGATATCGACAAAAGAACTAGCAGATTTTGTAAGAGAAAGGTATGTATTTTTTTGTCATTTAACAATTCATTATAAGTTAAATTTTAGAATATAAGTACCAGTAATTGAAAAAAAATTGGTTGTAAAGCAATCAAGTACAGTTGTTAAAAATATACTATAGTTATTTTGGGTTGGCCAAAAAGTTGTGTGGTTTTTTCCGTAAAATAAAAGAGACATTTTTTATTTCACCAATAACTTTATTGATGTGGACATTTGAGTAAATAGGCTATCTCCCACATGGTATAACATTGATTGTTCTCAGTTAACATCTTGATTTGATCGCTATCAACTTCAACTGGTCTACCTGACTGTGGAGCATCATCCAGTGAGGCATCTCCAGCACGAAACTTCTCAAACCCCTTTTGACCTGTTTGATCAGTCACAGCACCTTCTCCATACACTGCACAAATCTTTTTAATTTTTTGTGTTTCAGTTGTGTTTCTACCTTTCTTGAAATAATAAAGCATAATATGCCAAAAATTTTGAGTATTTTTTCTATCTTCAGTATTAAAATGGCCACACAAAAATTCACCAGTTTTGATAAGGGTTTCTTAAAATGCACACTGATATGACAGCTGTCACAATACAGTCTGAACAAAATTGTTTCCAATGAAGTTAAAGACCACTAAGCGCTACTAGAACCTTCTTATGGAAAAATCCAAATGAACTTTTTGGCCAACCCAATACTTTAAAGCAGGGGTCCCCAATCCCCATTCCACAGACCTGTATCTGTCTGTGGCCTATTAGGAACCAGGCCGCACAGCAGGAGGTGATCTTGAATGTAATGTGCTTGAATCATCCCGAAGCCATCCCCCTCCCATCCCTGGTGCATGGAAAAATTGTCTTCCGTGAGAATGGTCTCTGGTGTGAAAAGGTTGGGGACCACTGCTTTAAAGTGGTAGTTATCTGTGACCTACACGGCAGAGGGCTAACTAAATAGTGGCTCCAAGTGGCATTTGTTTAACTGGTTTACACATCACTGCTTGCAAATATTATCTACATATTTTTCATTGATTGTGATAGCAAGATGTCACAATAGAAATATTGAACTTTTTAAAAAATTTTTTATTGATTATGCTGTTACAGTTGTTCTATTCCCCCTTTCATTCCCCTCCACCCTACCCCCCATCCCCACCATTACCCCCCCTTTAGTTTATGACCATGTGTCTCAAGTCCTTTAGATTCTATATTTCCCATGCTATTCTTGCCCCCCCCCATCTATTTTCTATCTACTGTCTATGCTACTTATTTTCTGTACCTTCTCCCCCCTTCTTCTCCCACTCCCCTGTTGCTAACCCTCCTTGAGATCTTCATTTCTATGTTTCCACTCCTGATCTAGCTGTCCTTTTAGTTTGCTTTTGTTTTAGGTGTGGTTGTTAATAACTGTGAGTTTGTTGTCCTTTCACTGTTCATGTTTCTTTAACTTCTTTTTCTTAGATAAGTCCCTTTAACATTTCATATAATAAGGGCTTGGTGATGATGAACTCTTTGAATTTGATCTTATCTGAGAAGCACCTTATCTGTCCTTCCATTCTAAATGAAAGTTTTGCTGGATAGAGCAATCTTGGTTGTAGGTCTTTGGATTTCATGACTTGGAATACCTCTTTCCAGCCCCTTCTTGCCTGTAAGGTCTCTTTTGAGAAATCTGCTGACAGTCTGATGGGGACTCCTTTGTAGGTGACTGTCCCCTTAGCTCTTGCTGCTTCTAGGATTCTCTCCTTCATTTTAATCTTGGCTAATGTAATGATGATATGCCTTGGTGTGTTCCTTCTTGGGTCCAACTTCTGTGGGACTCTCTGAGCTTCCTGGATTTCTTGGAAGTCTATTTCCTTTGCCAGATTGGGGAAATTCTCATTTATTATTTGTGCAAATAAGTTTTCCACTGGTGGCTGTGCCTTTCCCCCTTCTTGTACCCCTATAATTCGGATGTTGGAGCGTTTAAAGATGTCCTGGAGGTTCCTAAGCCTCTCCTCATTTCTTTGAATTCTCGCTTCTTGACTCTTTTCTGTTTGGCCATTATTTGCTTTCTTCTGGTCCACTCCATTGATTTGAGTCCCAGTTTCCTTTTCATTGCTATTGGTGTCCTGTGCAATTCCATTCATTTCAATTAGTTTCGTCTTCATATATTTGTCTAATTTGTCGGTATAATCAACCAGTTCTGTGAGGATCCTGATGACCAGTGTTTTAAACTGTGCGTCTGAGAGTTTTGCTATTTCTTCATCACTTAGATCTATGGGCTCTGGGGCTTTGAGATATTCTTGCGACATTTTTGGTCTGTTCTGGCCCTTTAAGTGTGAGAAGCGGTGCCTTGGACTCCCAGGTCGCTGGGTTGTGACGCTGTATGTGGGGGCGTGGTCAGAGCGGGGAAATGGCGGCGCCCTCAGCTGTTTCTCACACCTGGGTGAGGATTAGCGTCTTAGGTGGTTCACCTGGGCCGGGCCACTCAGAGTCGCTGGGTTATGATGCTGTATGTGGAGGTGGGGTCAGAGCGGGGAAATGGCGGCGCCCTCCACTGCTGCTTGCCGCGGGGACCCGCCGAGCCCCGGTCCAACCGCCCACTCCCTCGCCTGTCCGCCCGCGCACAAATGCGCGACCACAGTCAACACGCAGCACCGCTCCCCCGCTGTCTCCCCCGCGTTCGCTCACTAGGTCCAGCCCTGCGCCTGGATTCCGTACGTCTGGATTCTGCGCCTGAGTCCGGCTGACCGAGACCTCCTGTGCAATCCTGCTTCACCAGCCGCTGGTTTCGCCCCTTACCGGTCAGGCTGAAGAATTTGTTGTTAACGGACTTCCGAAAAGTTCAATTTTCCGTGTTCTGGCTGTGTTTTCTGTTGCTAATATTTAGTTGTCTCTAAACTTGGTTGTGTGAGAAGGTACGGCACATCCACCTATGCCTCCATCTTGGCGGAAGTCCTCCCAGTTCCCTTTTCATTGCTATTGGTGTCCTGTGCAATTCCATTCATTTCAATTAGTTTTGCCTTCATATATTTGTCTAATTTGTGGCTATAATCAACCAGTTCTGTGAGGATCCTGATCACCAGTGTTTTAAACTGTGCGTCTGAGAGTTTTGCTATTTCTTCATCGCTTAGATCTATAGGTGGGGCTTTGAGATCTTCTTGTGCCATTTTTGGTCTGTTCTCGCCCTTTAAGTGTGAGAAGCGGTGCCTTGGACTCCCAGGTCGCTGGGTTGTGACGCTGCATGTGGGGGCGTGGTCAGCGGGGAAATGGCGACCCCTCTGCTGTTACGCGCACCGCTGGGTGAGGAACAGAGGCTTAGGTGGTTCACCTGGGCTGGGCCACTCAGAGTCGCTGGGTTATGATGCTGCATGTGGAGGTGGGGTCAGAGCAGGGAAATGGCGGTGCTCTCCCTGCCGCTTGCCACGGGACCTGCTGGGTCCCGCCGGTCCAATCGCCCACTCTCTTGCCTGTCCACTGGCGCACAAATGCTCGACCACAGTCAACATGCAGCCCCGAGGTCACTCGCTCGGTCGCTCACTAGGTCCAACCCTGCGCCTGGATTCTGCGCTCCCCGAGTCCGTCTGACCCAGTCCTCCTGTGCAACCCTGCTCTGCCAGCTGCTGGTTTCGCCCCTTACTGGTCAGGCTGAAGAATATGTTGTTAACGGGCTTCTGAAAAGTTCAATTTTCCGTGTTCTGGCTGTGTTTTCTGTTGCTAATATTTAGTTGTCTCTAAACTTGGTTGTGTGAGAAGGCACGGCACATCCACCTATGCCTCCATCTTGGCGGAAGTCCTAGAAATATTGAACTTTGAAGGATAAAATATTACCTTTTAAATAAACGTCAGTAAACAACATGCTAAAATAACTTGAAAAGACTACACTTTTTGAACTTACAGTTATGTATTGTTATAACTTTTATTTTAAAAACTTCTCTAAGTATTTTAAATTCTGCAAATTTAAAAGATGTGGTTGTCTTTAAGATTTTATAATAGTTAATTTAGAAATTATTAAAGCTGTTTGGTGCACCCCACTTGGTAATTTTTAAATGAAAACATTTACAATCTTTACCTTGATAATATAGGGATATTTTGCCTTAAGATACAATACTTCATTTATTCTTTCAGCAGTATATATACAGTGTCTGCTGTGTGTCAGGCACTTTTCTAGATTCTGGGAATATAGTGGTAAAGATACAAGTTCCGTCTACTTAGAGTTAACTGGTAGGAATTGGAGAACAAATTTTTTCATGTAACACCAATCTTCTTATGGCTTCCACCACTCTACTGGAGTTAAGAGGGCCTAAAAAAGCTCTGAGTACTATGGATAAAGCTATCCCTCTCTGTACCATCATTGGCAGGTTTCAAGGAGAGGCCCCAAACTCTGCATCTCTGGAATGTCCCCTAGCCTGCCTTCTTCCCCAACACTTGCATGACTACCATAACTAACCACCTTGAGACCATTGTTATTATGCCTTTTAGCCCTGTTTTATATCAGTCTCTATAAGAAGTCCAGGACTCCTGGGCCACCTCTTCTTTGCCTAGAATCTACCCCTTTTTGATTCTGTAAGCGGTGAGACAATCCCTTCTTCCTCTTCCCCTTCTCTCTTTCATTTTTCTTTATAAAAATTAAACTGTCTGATGCAGGCAATATGTATTTATTTGTCTTAGAATATAAACCTCATGAGCACAGGGATTTTTTGGGTGACTTTTGCTTGTTATTCTATTTCCTACACTTGGGAGAGTGGTGTCCCTTTAGTAGGCCCTCAGTAAAGATTTCTTAGAAAATCATTTTTATTTTTCAATTACAGTTGATATACATTATTAAATTAGTTTCAGGTATACACTCCAGTGGTTAGATATTACATAACTTACTAAATGACATCCTGATAAATCTTGCACCCATCTAACACCATACATAGTTATTAGAATATTAATGACTTTGTGGTCTGTGCTGTATTTTACATCCTCACGTAAAATACATGAGGATGTAAAATACATCCTCACGACTATTCTGTAATAACTCATTCCCTCAAACTCCCTCC